GACACCTCCCAGGACACCACAGCTGAATGGTGTGGCTGAGAGGCGCAATCGAACTTTGTTGGACATGGTTCGCTCTATGATGAGTCGAGCTTCGCTACCAATCTCTTTTTGGGGGTATGCCTTAGAGACTGCCGCCCAGATCCTTAATCTAGTCCCTACAAAGAAGGTTGCCAAAACACCTCATGAAATGTGGACTGGGAAAGTTCCCAATTTGGACCACATCAAGATTTGGGGTTGCGAGGATTTCGTGAGGTGTGAAACTCATGACAAGCTCGAACCTCGCAGTGAAAGGTGTATTTTCATCGGCTACTCACAAAAATCCTTTGGTTACCTCTTCTACAGACCCAATGAGAATGTGGTCTTTGTGGCTAGGAGAGGGGTCTTTCAGAGAGAGAGATATTTATAAACCAAGGAGACAGTGGGAGGCAAATTGACCTTGAAGAAATTCAAGACTCAATTGGTGAAGGAACCTCAGACACTAGCAATCAACTTGAGGAGGAAATTCCTGTTGATCCAGCTGACGAATCTATACTTACGAGGCGTTCCACAAGGGTTAGGAACACACCTGAGTTTTATTATGGATTTCATATTACTACGGAAGGTGATACATTTATCAGTGACAGTACACTGGTAAATCTGGATGAACCTAACAGTGTTAAGGAAGCCATGGCAGGCCCAGAGTCTGCTAAATGGAAGGAGGCTATGGACAGCGAGATACAGTCCATGTATGATAATCAAGTTTGGAACTTCGTTGACAATGTACCAGGCCGTAAGACAGTCGGGTGCAAATGGATCTTCAAGAAGAAGACCGACATGGATGGGAAGGTGCACACTTATAAGGCTCGACTGGTTGCGAAGGGGTTTACTCAGACTCAGGGTATTGATTATGATGAAACCTTTTCACCAGTAGCAAAGATTAAGTCTATTAGGGTTATGCTAGCCATTGCTGCATTTCATGATTATGAAAATATGGCAAATGGATGTCAAAACCGCTTTCCTTAACGGAAAGTTGGCTGAGGATGTTTACATGAATCAGCCAGAAGGTTTTGTCAGTGCAGAGTACCCCAATAGAGTGTGCAAGCTTGAGATCTATTTATGGATTGAAACAAGCATCTCAAAGTTGGAATCTTTGTTTCGATGAGAAGGTCAAAGAGTTTGGTTTCTGAAGAAGTGAAGATGAGTCCTGCGTATATGTCAGAGCTAGTGGGAGTATAGTTAGTTTTTTGGTACTGTATGTGGATGACATACTACTCATAGGAAATGACATCCCAACCTTGCAGGAGGTTAAGTCCTGGCTTGGGAAGTGCTTTGCTATGAAGGACCTTGGAGAAGCTACCTATATCCTAGGGATAAGGATATTAAGAGAAAGGAGTAAAAGACTAATTGGACTTAGTCAGAGTATCTACTTGGATAAGGTGTTGAAAAGGTTCAACATGCGAATTCCAAGAAAGGAGAATTACCGATCCAAAGCAATGCCAAACTGAGCAAGGCTCAGAGCCCGAGTACAGGAGATGAGATAGCTGAGATGAGTCGATTACCTTATGCTTCCGCTGTTGGTTCGATCATGTATGCTATGACTTGCACCCGTCCTGATGTGGCCTTCGCTTTGAGCATGGTCAGCAGATATCAGGGGAACCCTGGCAAGGCTCATTGGACTGCGGTAAAGAATATTCTCAAGTACCTGCGGAGGACTAAGGATTGGATCCTTACCTTGGTGGGAGTGATGACTTGAGAGTAGTAGGGTATAGTGATGCTAGCTTTCAGACTGATAGGGATAACTTCCGCTCCCAGTCGGGCTGGGTCTTTACCTTAAATGGAGGGGCAATCACTTGGAAGAGTTCCAAACAGGAGACTGTAGCTGATTCGACTTGTGAATCAGAGTACATAGCAGCGAGTGAAGCGGCAAAGGAGGCGATATCGCTGAGGAACTTCATCGGAGACCTTGGAGTTGTACCAGCTATTAAGGAGCCTATGGAGATTTTCTATGACAGCAATAGTGCGGTTGCCTTAGCCAAGGAACCAAGAGATCATGGCAGATCCCGACACATTGACAGAAATATCACTTCATAAGACACAAGATAGAAGAGGGACTCCTCGTGGCAAAGAGGGTATCGTCAGATGAGAACCCTGCGGATCCCCTTACGAAGGGACTGACGAGGGTGAAGCATTTGCAGCATGCGAGGCGCATCGGGCTGAGGGACGATATTAGTTTTACAGATTAGATAGCCTTTTCTGAACTTGTAAAATGTAATCGACGTTTGATGATGAATAAAATTTGTGATTTATTTATGAGTAAAGTGTTGCTATCATTGTCAATTATTTACTATTGTTTCAGTTTTGCATGTTTTGACTTCTAGAATAATTAATTTATTCAAACCTCCACAATCGGTCATACGTCGGAAGTAGGTATGAATCAAGATTGTCATGAATTGGGATTGTAGATGACTAAAGGTGTTTAGCCATAGCAATGGTTGCTACAACATTCATGAGTACTCATAAGTTATGAGTATTGGAATAAACCCACGCTCACTTGTATCACTTCATGGAATTTATCTCGAGTGATCGTGAGACGGTAATATCATATAAGTCTTCAAACCTAGAGATATGAGTTGTTACCTATGAGTTGGTTGTGCATTGATTGCACGTAAACGCATCAGTAACTTGATGTTATAAAACGTGCCTTTGTGTGCAATTCAATAAGTAGTAGAACAAGCATATGAGTCGAAGTTATCTGTTCCTTCTAGAAATAGAAGCGATATCTGGGCCCCTCGATCATTTTGTGTTGACCCATGTACCGGGCCCGGTCAGAACTAAATTGATGTGTTCAGTTAAGTTCTTTGTCAAACAAATCGGAAATCGAGAAACAACTGCTAGACAATAAGTAAGACATTGTTCCATGTATTTGTCCGGCTGATATCATGAGAGCAGAGGATTATATGATCACTTATCTAAAATGGCGCTTCATAGTTCACAAGAGTTTTCGAGAGCTACGATTGCCGGTTGGTTCCTGAAGTAATATAGGCAAATACAGTTATTAGACTTATCCAAGTGGGAGTCTGTTGGATAAGATGTCTAAGTCCATAACTTATTTGGTATATACTTGACCCGACCCGGCATGGTCCATTTGGGTTGCACTTCACACCCAACTAGTTATGGATAATTTTATGAGAGTTGTATACTTACGATTTATTAATATATTATAAGTTATAATATATTAATATAAAGTCATGTTACTTATTAGTTTTAATCTTGAATTAATTATGAATTAATTTAGTGATTAAAAGGAAGACTAATTAAATCATGGGCTATTATATTTATATAGTGTGGGCTAACACTCATTTGGGAATGGGCTAAGCTTATATAAGTCCATGGATGATCCATGGAGCTTTTACCCATGGATCCTTGGAACAGGAAAAGACATGGGTTTAGGGTTTCACCCTAACCATGTACACTATATAACAAGCTTATGTTGCATGAAAAAAACACTATGGTGTGTGTAAGTGTGGTGGCCAAAATCAAGAGTTAGTATACTCTCTCATACATTTTCCAAGTTTGTGGTGATTTGTGATTTCCATTTGAGGCATTCACATTATTGGTGCTTGGCTCTCAAACTCCAAGGAATCAACAATCAACAAAAGGTATGTAATTCATCTAGTTCTTTTATGGTTAAAAGTACCCCATGCCATGCTAGATAGGTTATAAACCTTGGAAAATAATATTTTGCATGTATCTTAGACAAACATAGATCCAAGTTTAATAGGGTTGCATGTACACTTAGGAAGTGTTAGAATGCTCAAAACCACACACACTTCCTTGTCGCATGTTGAGGCTCTGTTAGTCATCAAGTACTTCAACTCTTATGGTCGGTATAAATGGTACAAC